GTGCAAAACACAGACCACAGTTTACAATAGATTGAAATTGAAATAGTATCAGGCTGAAGTAATGCAAGCAGGAAACTGCTGTCTGAACTCACCAAGGCTTTCCTTCCTGCTTGTAAATCTTTCCTTCTCCTACTCATTGATAAAAAGAGATTAGGGGCACGTACAGTTTTGTTTTCCTGTCTGGTGATATGCAATTTCCAGACCTATGTGTTGATGCAAACCAATGGCCCTAAAAGCTGGTTACCATCATGTACACTGTGATCTCTTTAGATTATCTTGAAACTATCTCGAAACCGGTCTATACAGCGTGGTTGCCAATCAGTGTGCTTGATGCTAATGCTTTATTGCTCTATTGCAGTGAAGTGGCTGCACCTACACTTGTGCCCAGGTGCAAGGCTGTCCTCTACATTTTCACTCTTTCATACCAGGTGGTTGGGACTGGGTTTGTAATTTCTTATTCCATTGTTCATTTTTTCCCCACATTTTTGACCAAATGCCATGTGAATCTAATTTAAAAAAAATAAAAATAAAAAACAAACTATTACATTATCCTTCTCCCTTTCCTGTTCCCCTTTCCTGTGCTACACTGAGGGACTTCCTTTCAATTCACTGCAGGCTAAAAGTCAAAATTGTAACATTGCAATGCAATGCTAAGAGATGATGCAATCAAAACTAGTGATTAAAAAAGGCCCCAACTTCTTGCCTTCTGATCTTAGTGAAAAATGAAAATGGGTACAAAGTGCTTCTGTGAATGAGAAAGCAAATCATCAGCTTTACATTAGCCTGACCCTTGTTTGATACTCTACCTATTTGCTCCTAATAATGGGTTAGTGACATATTAGCCCCTGTCCCGGTTGGGTAAAATCTCCAAGATCCCTCACCAGCATTCAACTGGTAGAGATGCAGGGGAAAAGAAACACCAAGTTTTCTTGTCCCTGGACCATTTTGGGGTTGCAGGGTCTATTCCAGTGGGCAACATCTTTACTCATCTAACTGCCAAATACTTTCTTCTTTGGCGTGCTTCTGTAGAATTAACTTTTGTTAGAAAATGCAAGAAAAATTGAAGTGATATGAACAAAACTATGGTGAAAATCTAAGGCAATTTCAAGATTTGCCAGTGCCACTCTTTAATGAAGCTCTTTAAAGACATAAACTTGAATACAATTGAATAATTCTTTCCCTCTACCTTTCCAAAACACATATACTTATGCTTTTTACAGGGATAAAAAAACAATGAACCATTTGATTTTATAACCCACCCCTCAACAAGACAGTTTTTTAATGTTAAATCTTTTCATTCTGGCAATTTCCCAATCTAGTTATTAGCTTTGCTGATTAAGACAAATAATATCAACCTAGACAAGTATAACTGTTCATGAATAGCTACTTCTTTTTCAATGTGAAGTCAGTTTTCAAGCGTCCCTTAAGCCATTGATAATTGATAATGCTTATTAAAAAGGCAAGTTAGGCTTATGGTCAAAACCAGACTTTGTTATATACATTAATTGTGAATGATCACTTAGATCTTGTTGGAATCAGGCAATCCAAAAACAGATTCAGCTTTTAGACTATTTTTATTCTTTCAGAATATTAATGAAAACACTGGGGCGAAAAAGAAAGGGAAACAAATAAGAGGTCAACTCACAAAGTCTCTAGGCTGTGGAGCCCATCAAAGCATTTCTTTCCCAGGGAGTAGATTCTATTGTTATGGAGATGTCTGCAGGGGAACATTAAGCACACAGTCAGGAAAGCACATTGCACACAGTGGGCTTAAGCAAAACATTTTGATGGTTAAATCAAAAGAAACTTATTTTCAAGCATGTGCTGATTACATGCAAGTCATGCTTTTGCAGAAGCATGTACAGGAGGCACCTCTCCCCAGCCTTTCCTCATGGTATCTCCCCACCCATGCCAGCTTTGATTTGGTTTCATAGAAGGGATTTGTTTTAAATCCACTTAGATTGTTTAAAAAAACATATAATTTAGTAGTTTGGAGTTTGCATATTAACCACTGTGAAACTCTAGATTGATGATTAATTAACATGTTGCCTTAAAACTGTGTGGTGGAGCAAGGTGTGTTTGGTAGATGTATATTCATAGGGTGCTAGAGGGAAGGGCGCAGAACTGGAGCAGGTGAGGAGATGGAGAATAAAGCAGGCAAGAAACAGACATTAGGCTTGAAGAATTTTGCTTGAGACGCAAATCACAGGACAAAAAAATGTAGCTTCAATGACATGAGTAAACAACGATCTTACAACGATGTGCTGTAACTTGTATTCCTTTGAAACAATAAAAACCAATGGTTATTTCTTCAAATGTTCAGAAATTGAAAGCAATTTTATTATCTTACAGGATACGTTACATTTTGATCAAACTTGCCCACATGAAAGTTTGGGACCTTCATGCTCTGTGTCATAATGGTGCCTATTTCTAGATTTTTTGACTGACATGGAAAAAAACAACGAGATAGAACAGAACTTGGAGCAACTTCTTTTTTTTTAATGATTTTTTTCCCCAGCAGACATTTCTTTCATTTTATGTTTGACATTCCAGTTCCAAAGGAGAGGGAAACTATGGGAGTAGCACTTTAAAAGAAAGGAGGAGTTGTGAATAGGGAGCTGCCAGGCACAAATCTTTCAGCACTTGACTCTGCTTTAAAAATATTTTTAAAGATCACAAATTCTCTGAATGTTCTTCAAAACATTCTGCAGAAATTTAGTCTATATCTGCTTGTCCATAAAAAGTCCATAAAAGTCAGAGATTCTGGGTAAAAATGTGAAAAATGCAAATGTTTTGTGTTTTTCTCCTTTCCTAAGAAGAAATCTAATCAACTTAAAAAAAAAAAAAGCCTACTACATTGATCCTAGTTAGTATAAAGAGTTAACCCCAAATTCCAATTATGTTTGGATTTTTAATGACTAAAGCTTCAATCTTACTCTTACTGAACACGATTTTTATCAAATTTGCAACACTAAGTGGGAGACAGCAGAACCATACATAAAGGTTTCGGTGAGACAAAAATATCAGATGTCGCAGATAATGAGGAATGGTTTAATTATTAGTAAATTCATTAATAAATAAAAGACTAGAAGACCAGAAATAAGCAGGGTTGATCTAAAGAAAGACGGGCTAGCCGAGCAGAGACAAAAAGGACTTCAAAAGAAGTTATTTTCTGCTGGATATCTTAACTGCCCTCAAATCACTATATTCCTGGTGGGTTATCTAAAGAATGGCTTTCAAGACCTTCTCCATCTTCAGCATTGCTAAGTCTAGAAGCTCATTCAAATGACAAGTCTGTCCCCTTCTTTAAAGACTTTAATCTGTAGGAGATTGATAATGCTGAAGTTCAGTTTATTTCATATAAACAGGGCAAAATTATCTGGTCCAACAAAGCTGTTACCCCTATTTTGGACCCTGTTGAATGGTCCTATTAAGTACTAGGCACAGATGGTAATTATCACTTTCAATAAAGAAGCCTGAAGTGTGCCAGGCACATTGCTTACACTGGCATCCGATTCCCACTCTTGAATATGCTAAGTCTGTTACATGCTATAGTTTCAGAGAGCTTTTACAAGCTTATGTCTTGACTATAGATAGAAGAAGGATACCTTGGAAAACAGCAGCATTGCTAAAGAGAGATAATAATAACAATCTCTCTATAGTAATGCTGCTGTTTCCCAAGGTATCCTTCTCCCCCTCAATTCTCGTCAGTTTCTTTAGACAGTCTAGATTTTTTTTTCCACATGGTACATTCCAGAATATATATAAAAAGAGATTCCATGTTCTACAGTATTCCCTCCAGATTCTAGTGCAAGTTTTGCATCTGTTTTCTTTAGCAGTGGCATGTGAACATATCAAAATACAGAACTACATATACTTTCTGTGAGGGATAATATGTACATTTATGCTGCTCAGAATTCTTTTCAAGTCACCCAGAAAGCTTTTCAGTTCATTTCCTCTTTCTAATCTTTCCTCATTCCCTACATACTGCCTTAGAGTCTTAAAGGACATATACAATTCTTCTATTCCTGCTTGCTTTGCTGATCCAATACAGTGATCTTCCAATTTGTTTACAAAGATTTTTACTGGAGATGGAAACTTTTAAGCTAGATAAAAACAAGCAATTTGGACAATACTAGTTCAACTGCAAGAAGATGTGAAAAAACTCTCTTTCTCCAAGATCATTGATTGTTTAAAATTTGTTTTTCTTCTACTTGAAAAATGCTGCACAAAAAAAAAAAGAAGAATTTGTACTTGAAAAGAACATCTTTCTTCTGTTAACGAATCTCTTTTGTTACAAATCTCCTCTGCTGGAATTGATAAGGGAATCAATCTTGGTAAAGGCATATCATTAAATAAAAGGAAAAATAAAGGCAAAAATAAAGGGGAAGGTTTAGATTTATAGCCCCAAAATATCAGTTTAATATTAACACTGTAAGATAAAATAGGCCTTTAACTAGCCTGGATATTCACCGACCACTTGCCAACAGGGAAGTGACTAGGGAATGGCTTATAAAAGGTTGTCTCGAGCAAAGTCTAAAATAAACATTGCATCTTCAATGAATTTATCACAGTAATGCTGGCCAAGGCCTTACAAAGAAGTCACAGTTTGGGGCTAAAATGTAATCAGTAAAACTTACAGAACTACCAAACTAGAGAGGTTTCCAAAAGCATAGTCTGGTATGTGATGAATTTTATTCAGTGCCAGTGTCATTGCTTGTAGAGCTGGTAAACTCCTAAAAGCTTGGACAGGAATTTCTGTCAAAGAATTATCATCTAGCCATAGGTGTCTAAGGGAGACCAAGCCACTGAAGCAGTTGGGGGGCACATGGTTGATGTGGTTGGCATCCAGGCGCCTAGGAGAAAAAGAAATAGAAAAAAAATGATTCCAAGAAAAGAACAGTGAATTCACACAATGGATAAAAGAAGTTATCATTAAGAACACAACTCCAAAGGAAGGACATGGAAAACACATCCGTTTTTCATATCCCGAAGAGCCCCTTTTCCGTCTTTTTTGCAACCTAATCCCTGGGACCTCGTATCATGTTCACAGTTCTTCTAGTCAGCGGCTTCACCACAGCAAGCTCTCAGTGGAGCCACCAATCCACCGAAGCACAGGCTGATCATTTCTGAACAGAGCGTTTCTTGGCCTGGGCAGGATTTTTGTCTTCCTCTGCCAATCACTTGAAAGTATGGGGGACGAAAAAGCTAAGAAACGCAGTAATTCTCTTTCAGAATCTGTAAATCACTGAGTCACGGAGCGATATGGCTTTCCATACTCCATGTACCCCCTTTAAAAGCTCAAAGCAAAACTGATTCCTGAGTCTCTTTCACCATCTTACCTCTTGTCAAATATTGGTTATGTCAACAATTCCAGTGAGCACCAAAATCAATGTATAGAGTAGCAAAGAAACATGTTATTTAGATATCAGTGTTGTAAACATAATATATTAAAAAAAATAAAAAGCCACAAACAATTCGGTTGCTGTGGAGCCAAAAGAGGGAGCTAAAGGGCACGTCGTGCGGCTTGTCCCGAGATCCTGCAGGTGACGGCTTACACCTAAACTGCAAGGAAGGAGCAAATCTACTGATCCTTTCGTAGATATGGGGTTTTAAACAGGCACTAAATTATGTCATATTTTCACTGATGTGAATTTCTTTTTTTGTTTTTCCCACCGTGATGTTTTCAGGGAAACATTTAAAAGTGTACTTCAGATTTCTGAAACTTCATGAAACATCAAGATGGTGATCTGAACTCGGGTATACTTTTTCTTCCTTCTAATGTGTTGTAGTGACTTGCACTTTGTAACATAAAAGCCATTCTCTACAACTTCTGTTAAAGATGTCTGTAGAAAGAAGTAATTAAGTGAATGGTGAAATAAAAATAAATTTAAATAAAAGCTTGAAAACAGTACAGAAAAAAACAGACACACCCAGGGTACAAAGTAATTCTGTACAACCTAAATTCAGGCTGTTTGCAAGAAATGTAATACTCTTGGAGCGGGCATAATAATCTCTTTATTTAAAGCTGGTTTTTCATTTACAGTCATGTAAAATGTCAGGTCCATTCAATCTCCTGCTCCATGTTGCTTCTACCTACTGCATGAGAACAAATAATGATTACTAAGGCTCCGTGCCAGACTGGCAAATAACTGAGACAAGGTCAGTTGGAACAAATTTATAAAGTTCAGTGTCAAAGCCCTTGTACAATTAAATTTTCAATATAATAACTGACAGGGCAGGCAGCAGAGACAGACCTTCCAAAATAACTCAAGGGTCTGTCAACAAATGGGTGAGGCTGGAAATGTTTAGAAATACTCGTGCTGTACCTCCCCTATTCCCCAGGCAACAACCATCATGCTATGGCTATGTTTTCAAATAAGGTATAATTTAAATGAGTAGATGAGGTTTCTTTGTGTTTGCTTAGAAGTAAATTTCTTCCCTGTGTGATGCTGGTATGTAAACTAAGAAGTTACAGTTGCATTAGTTTGACAGCTACACTGATTAAAGAACGGAGGCTTTATTCAGCCTCAACGCATTACTGTATTACAGTTAACATCTTGTTCCACATGAAGCCTGAGCTTGCAGCTTTGACTTCTCTGTTGGCTCCAAATTAGTTACTCACATAACCCTCGGTTGCACAGTTAAGGCAACAGACAGTTGTCTTTGTGTAACCTAAATGGGCAAAATGGCAATGCTTCTACTGCCTTCAGTGCAATCAGGATTTTTACCTTACCCACACTTAGCAGCAAATTAAAGAACTGATTTTGTTTATAGATTAAGTTTCCATCACTGGTTATATAAATAAAACATACAACACAGAAGGAAAAATAGGACTGCAGCAATACTAACGAGATTCCAGGTAGCTGCATTATTGTTTAAATAAATTTTGTAATAAAATGAGAAACTACAAAGATTTGTGCTGTAAGCCCTGTAACTGGATTACATACCCTACAAGAGCTCTTAAGAAGTACTGCCTCAAGTGTTCTTTTGTTATCTAATCTTTTTAAAATTCCCAAGTGCCATTTTCTTACTTGCAGATTAAAAATTTCAGTAGTGGTTATGTTTCCTATCATATTGTCGCTAATGTACACCGAGGTAAAAACATTGATCAAAATCATCATTTTCAGCCAATTGTTTTACACATGTTGATCAAAGTTTTGGCACTTTAAGAACTAAACCCATTAACTCACAAACATGACCCTATTTATAATTCAAAATATACAGATAACATGTGGGGAGTCTGAAAGCTGCTATTATATTCTAGTGAGAGCCAATTTAGACAAGAAATACTTGATCTTTTCTGATAGGCAGCATATAAGTAAGGCAGCCCATATGAAATTCATCATGAGCTCACTTACAATGTCCAAACCTTTCAAAGTAAATGCCTGAGCCATGTGGACTGTATCCCACTCTTGCTTTCTGTGACATGTTGTGAATGTTATGACCACATGCTTTATAAACTATCCAAAGACATTACTCGTATAGAATTCTGAAGATGATTAATTTTTTGATACTCTGAAGCAGGTGAAGGTAGATGTTTGAAAACTATTTAATTTACATTTATTTTGATCAATTCATTATGAACTGATAGTTTAAAGCCACTGTTTTTCTCTAGCGCCCAACAGAAATGTTTTCCTCCCTGATGCATGAGTAATCTGGTTTCTGAGAAAATATATATTTTTCCTTTTTCTAGTCTGTTTGTCAAAAACAAGCCCCACTGCAACCTGGATGTACCTACTGATCTTGAAATTCCTTTATGTTTTGTGGCTGCATCTTGCTCTTGCATTCAAGATTAAATCAAATGCTAGATGTGGACTCAGAAGGAAAAATTCTCCCCAATCAGACAGACAGAGATTATTAGAGCATTCCCCTAAAATACTTGGTGCAGTGTATTTGTTAGCATCATCTATGCTTTAACCTACTGAATCCCTTGAAACATTGCAGGGACTGAGTGAAGTGTGATGGCCTTTGTCTCTCCAGCTGTTTTTTCCTGTGATTGGTTGAAGGAGCTGATTTTGTTTTTGTTTTTGTTTTTCACATTTGCTATGGCTCTAGGAGGTGGCTGTGGCCTGTTGTGTGCAGGAGGCAGTCAGAACAGACGATGTCTTGGCATCTTCGAGCTGGAAATCTATTACATAAGTTGCTTTTTCATACAAGAAGGGACCCTGAAGAGAAACTACAAAGGGAATGGAGTGGAAATAAGCCCCAAAGACACATTAAAAAAAAAAAGTCAAGGATACAATGTTTCTCTCACATTTAAGTTTTAAATAAGATAGTAAAACCAAAGGAAAAGGGCATATCTGTAACAGGCTAGGGAAGCAAACAGGCGAGAGCACAGGAGGACTGATTTCAAGCACAGCAGAGATCTTCCTACCTTCCTCCCCTGCTGACCTGTTTCTGCCACATGAGGAGTCCCACACGAAATGACGAAAAGTGGTTGTGAGTGCTACCTGCCTGGAGTCGGTATAGGAGACAGGATGGGGTCATCATGCTCAGTCCCACCGTCTTTGCTAGTTTGTGGTGGTCCCTCCACGGAGCCGTTCTTGACAGTTTGTTTAGATGAATTGGGTTAAGGCCCAGTTTAAGGAATAGCAACAGTGACATCAAAACTGGCTCTGTAAAGCGGATGTGACGAAAATATAGCTGGCTATTGTGAGCTTGGTTTTCAAGCATGGCCCTTTAAGCAGGATATCCCCTTCACTCCACAGGGGAAAATGCTTGGACTATTGTAAAAGCATAATTGCAACAGCAGTTCCCACATCTCCCTTTCAGCTCTGCCCTTATACGGGTCTGTATGGATTGATACAAAGAGCCCTGAGCAGCAGTAGCGAGTCCAGAAGAAATGAAAAATAAAGACATAGTTTCCAAAAGAAAAAAAATATAAAGACATGGTTTTGGAGCACTTTTTTTTCCTGTTCCACTATTTAGCTTTACATGACTGGGAAGTCTCTGCAGCTCAGAGCTTCACTCTTCAGTGTTTCTCTTCATATACAAATGTGGTGTTATTTTGATAAATGGGCATTTGAGACAGCAGCTTGGGATATTACCCAAATGACAGTGTCACTGTATAAAGCCTCGCAATGTTATTTTCATACCAAGATCAGCTCTGAGCACCCTGAATCCCTCCAAGCAGGGAAAAAGCAGGGCCAGCAGGAGTTGCGGGGTTATCCTGGGACTCTGGCTGAACACCCTCCACAGTCTACGCCTAACCTAGTGCATTATGTGAACAACGCCAGGCCCTGTGCCTGGTGGTTTGGAGTGGTCCACATTGCACCCGTGACCTCTCCTGGCCTCCCGAGCAAGGTGTTGAGTGTCCCAGGGCTGTGCGAACTGCAAAATGACCCTGGGGAACAGTCCAGATAATCATTAGTTGGCACGGGCCAAAAGTGTGCCAGGGACCCTGCCGACCACGCGCACTGCAGGCCTGGGAACACCCCTAGGTGCTGTTTGCTCTGCTGGACCGGCTGTCACAGCAGTGTGTCACCTCACAGTGCCTCCCAGGATCTCCTCTGAAAGGGGAGCCCTTCCTTGTTTACCATTCCCAGGGTTGCTGCTCCTCTTCCCACACGTGGTACACACATCCAGGTGGGGCTCAGCCCGGCAGGAAGATTTTTCCTGTGCGATTCCAGTGAGCATGATAAAAAAAAAATCTTATTCTTATGAAACTGCTCAGAAGACAGAAAAGCCTCTTAGCTTCTCCTGGATGAAAGAGAACATCACTCAGTGGCCTGGAATTGCCAATAGATCAGTCTATTTGCACCCCACTTTAAGAACAATCTGACCCTGAGGCTGGTTAAAAGACGGACTACAACCAAGTGAAATGGTGGCAGAGAGAGTTTAGGGATCCTTGCACCTTGTCTTCCTTCCAGATGCGTATGAAGCAAGAAAAGCATCTGAAACTGAGAGGAATGGTACAACATTGTGCTAGTGCTCCATGTCCAGTC